CAAGAACTGCTGGGCAGGAAGATGATCTGGCATCATGAATAATGTGTATAATGTTTAACTCAACTTTGCTCTTCTAGAAAATCATTTTAATTAACTAAGGATGTATAAAAAAAAAAATCACTCTTCCCCAAGAAATCCACAAGGTTCTCACACCTCCTTCAGGTCTAAACTCAAATGCCTACATTGCCACCCTTTCTAAAATTGTAACATCCCATATATTACTCATCCCCCTCTCCTGCTATATTTTCTCTCCTCGTCACCTATCATAAATTTATTCATATAGTTTTAATTTTCTTCTCAGACTGAAATACAAGCCAAAACAACTTTAAAAAAAGAACAAAGTTGGAGAACTCATACTTACCAATTTCAAAACTTACTACAAAGTTACAGTGATCAAAACAGTGTGATACTGGATAGACATATAGATCAAGGCCTAGAATTAAGAGTACAGAAATAAGCCCTTACAATTTATGGTCGATGGATTTTTGACAAAGATGACAAGGTAATTCAATGGGGGAAGGAATAGTCTCTTTAATAAATGGTGCTGGGATAACTGGATATCTATATGTAAAAGAATGAAGGTGGACCCCTAACTCACACCATTTTCAAAAATTGAAATGGATCACAGATCTAAATGTAGGTGCTAAAACTATAAAATGCTTACAAGAAAATCTTTTGTCACCTTGCTTTAGACAATTTTTGTTGTTATTGTTATGACACCAAAAGCATAAGCAACAAAAGAAAAAAAATAAACTGGATTTAATTAAAATTAAAAAATTTTTGTGCTTTGAAAGATAGTGTCAAAATAAATAAAAAGACAACTCATAGATGGGAGAAAATATCTGTAAATCATATGTCAGAGAACGAACTTATATTCAAACTCTCAAAACTTAACAATAAAGACAAACACAACCTAATAAACAAAGCAGACAAAAATCCTTGCCCTTATGGACCATTCAAGTGGTGAGGACAGGCAATATAAACAAGTAAAATCTATAGTATGTAAGATTACCCTAAGTAGTACGAAAAAATTAAGGTGGGAAAATAGAAGGTTATTATTTTAAGCAACATGGTTTGTGAAGATCACACTGGGAGGGTGACATTTGAGCAAAGACCTGAAGGGGGTGAGTGAGCAAGCTGTGTGAAAATGTAGAGCAAGAGCACTTGGGCAGAGGGAACAGCAGGTGCATTGCCCTGAAATGGGAGCATGCCTTCTGTGTAGCTGGAGCAACATGAGTGAGGGGAAGAGTAAAAGAAGATAAAGTCAAAGAGGTAAATGGGGGGAAGGGAGACTGGGCAGATCACACAGGGCCATTTGGACCGTTGGCCTTTACTTGAAGTGAAATGGGAAACCTTTGGAGCAGAGGAGTGACATGATCTGATACAGATTTTACAGACTCACTCTGAACGCCATGTTGAAACTAGTCTGAAGGAGGAGAAACGCGAAAGCAGAGAGAACAGCTGGGAGACTGGAGCAATAATCTGCGCAAGACACGTTGGTGTCTTGAACCATAGTGGTAGTATGAAGGTGTGAACAGTGTTTTGATTTTGGAAACATTTTGAAGGTGGAACAGACAAAATTTCCCAGTGGACTATATGTGGGATGTGCAATGAAGAGGAGTCCTGAAAAGCACAAAACTTCCGGCCTGAGAAATTGGAAAGATGGTGAATATCAAGATCCTGATTTTGGACAAGCTAAATTTGAGATGCCTATTAGGCATCTAAGTGGACAGGTTATGCTGGCAGGTGAATATACAATTCTGGAGTTTAGTGGAGAAATCTGGGCTGGTGGTTAAAATGTGTGAATTGGCTGCCTACCAAAACCAAAACCAAACCAGTTGCCATCAAGTCAACTCTGACTCATGGTGAACCTACATGTTTCAGAGTAGAACTGCGGTCCGTAGAGTTTTCAACAATTGTAATGTTTCCAAAGTAGATTGCCAGGCGTTTCTTCCAAGGCACCTCTGGGTGGATTAGAACTGCCAAGCTTTCAGTTAGTAGCCAAATGCTTAACCATTTGCGCCACCCAGGACAACCTCAGCTGCCTACATAAGGTATTTAAAGACTTAAGACATTGATAGCATGAGATCATCAAGTCAGTGAGTGTAGACAGAAGGTAGTTTTCTTCTTAAACAAATGAAAAGTTTCCTCCTATTTTCCATTAACTAAATCTCAAATTAAATTAGCGGCAAGTGTATTAATCCTGTAGTTACATCATGCCACTAATTATCCCTCATAAATATGTTCTGTGTGACACCTTGCACTCATTTCTCATTGTTGTGTCTTAGGTCAAAAGAAGTCCTATCTTCAAGCTGCCTGTGTGTCTGCACCACAACTTTCAACATTCCCTTATCGCTAAATTACAGGCAAAGAGGAGCTAAATGTTGGTGCCAGTGTTTGGTGGGGAACTTGTTTCAGGGCCTCTGGCTATGGTCACAGGATGAGAGAAAATGTAACAGGGAACATCACACATGGGCAAAGTGAGTAGGTTACAGACCTGCTCTAAACCACAAACTGTTGCGACTCAGACTACAGTGCATCAGCTTAGGTATCACTGTGAGACTCACAGCAAATACTAACTTTGGCATCTTTAATAAATCAAGCAATAGATTAAAACCTGTGTTTACAGCTCATCTAACTCATCTGACTCATTTCCATCAGCGGTAAGTGGATTTTAGCAAAAGCAATGTCAAGGGACCACAAATTTCAAGGCTGCAGCCGTGATAGCTGGAAGTGCTGATGAATTCTGGATTTGTTAGGGAGACAAACATAGAGTTGTGGGGTGGGGTGGCACCATATGAATCATGAACCTTTACAGAATATGGTGATATAATTCGTGTCTCAATGGCTAAGCACGTGAAAACGTTGATGTAGAAGCGCTGGTGCATCCATGCTTTAAAAAAACTAATAGAAATAATTATCCAGCTAAAATTGAACTGATGGTTTTATTATTATTATGAGGAGAAAAATAAATACAAGTTTAAATATTAAGAAAACTCTATGGATCACAACAGTCCAATTCCATTGTGCATGGCATTGCCATCAGTCTGGGGCCAATTCCAAGGCAGCTAACAACAAGAGTAATTAGGAGTCCCTGGGTGGTACAAATGGTTACAACAATCAGCTACTGACTGAAAGGTTTGAGGTTCGAGTCCACCCAGAGGCACCTGGAAGGAAAGGCTGGGTGATCTAACCAGTGAAAAATCAGCCACTGAAAACTGTGAGCACAGCTCTACTCTGATACACATAGGGCTGCCATGAGTCAAAATCAACTCGATGGCAACTGATTTGATGATTAATTTGGAAGTGTGTAAAACAGCTATAATTATCCAATTTTGATAAATACATAATCAACAGTGAAGAGATATAATGTACAAAGTCTTCAAGTATGTTCTCCAAATGAGCAATTTTAAGGTTAAGACCACTTTGCCTACATGCCCAGTATTGAAGACAATTATTTTAAAACGGTCGTCTATTAAATTTGCATTATGTCTGGTAACTACTTGGAAATTAAAAGGAATTGAAACTTATTTTCTACAAAGTTAAATTTAAAGGAATGTGGGAAAGTCTTGAAATTTAAATTCTTAACCTACTTGAATTTTTTTTTTTAACAGATATTTGTCTTCTAATTCTGCAAAAAAAAAAAAAAAAAAGAGGATAAAACTTGACTGATAATTTTAAAAGAAATGTTTAAGAGCCACTGTAGGAAGCAACACAGGGAAGAAAATAACTTCCCAATTATAATTACTGAGAAGACCTTTTCATTCACATTTGGCTAACAAAAAAAAGTATAATAAAAATCTCAAAACCAAAGATGCTATGTTTAAATATCAGTTGTATGCTTTCCCCAGACACGTCCATTCTCAGCCCAGGATCAGGTGTCTTGGTGCATTCGGCATGCTTTCTAAAAGAACACTCATGAGCCCAAACCTTGGACAAGAAGTTTGGTTGGGAACGGTTTTCTTCTAACACCTTACAGCTATGCAGGTATCTTGATATTTCCATCAAAAATCTAACTCTACACTTAGAGGGCAACACAAAGAAATAACTAGCTCAGTTTCTCTTTATAATCCAGTTGTCTAAATCCATCTGTAGAACATTGGATCTTCCCCAAACGTTTCATGCATAAGCAGAACAAATTATCCCTTAAATAGTAATTTACCTGAGTGCATTCTTTTATCTAGTGTACAAGAAGATGCTTCAGAATACGTATAGCGCTTTTTTGTGTGTGTGTGCTTTAGGCGAAGGTTTACAGAGCAAATTAGTTTCTCACTAAACAATTAATACACATATTGTTTTGTGACACTGGTTGCCAACCCCGTGACATGTCAGCACCCTCCCCTTCTTGACCTTGGGTTCCCCATTTCCATTTCCACTCGTCCAGTTTTCCTGTCCTCTCCTGCCTTCTCGTCCTTGCTCCTGGGCTGGTGTGCCCAATTAGTCTCATATACGTGGTTGAGCTACATGTATTATTGTTTTATAGGCCTGTCTAATCTTTGGCTGAACGGTGAACCTCAAGAGTGACTTCAGTACCAAGCTAAAAGAGTGTCAAGGGGCCATACTCTCGGGGTTTCTCCAGTCTCTGTCAGACCAGTAAGTCTGGTCTTTTTTTGTGAATTTGAATTTTGGTCTACATTTTTCTCCAGCTCTGTCCGGGACCCTCTGTTGTGATCCCTGTCAGAGTAGTCAGTGGTGGTAGTCGGGCACCATCGAGTTGTGCAAGACTCAATATAGCACTTTTTTTAAGTGTCAGGTTTATTCTCTTTTTTTAAATACAGCAAATTCTTGATTAACCACCCCCCCACACCCTGCCCTCTACCCCACCCCACCCCCCGGGCAGGCGAGTGCTAGCCACAGCAATGTTTTAACTGGGACTGGATTCTTCCCAGTCAACACAACATTCCTGGGCTGCCTCTCTTCAATTACGGTATCAGGCTCAAAAACGGTCAAATTAAATGACATTATTTAAATAAAAACACTGGGGAGATAAATCTGCTGGCTTCCTTTCTAATATAACGCATTCCAAAATAAAATACATATGTTTTCAGTTTAATAATGTACATACAAACCTTTGTTAAACCATAAATGACAAGTTTTATTAGAAAGTCATCATCCTCGTCACACATACATAATGCACTCTAAAGCAATCTTGGGGGTCTTTCTTATCAGGTTTGGAGTTACACGTTATCACTGCTCTACTCCAGCAGCATGGTCATTAGAAAGTACACACCCACACACAGACTCTAATTCATAAACTATGAGCTATATACACTTGGATTTTTGAAAATAATGTACTTCATGAGGCAGAATGGGAAAAGGAGAATTAAAACATATAACTTATATTCAACTACAGAAATATTTCCCAGTTGTGAATTAATTACAATGCTCAAAAAATGCTAGTGTCCTCATGAACATTTTGATTATAATATGGTATAAAATCAGAATTTTGCCATCTTTGAAAAGGCACATTTTTATACCATCTCCTGAGCATTCCCCTGAGAGCATAAGGAAAGTGATTAACATAATGAAACATTTCAGCCCATAGAAGAGTCTTCATCACGGAGGTATCTCAGGGGTAAAAATGTTCTAAGGATTGTAAGAAAAGTCTGTAAGTTCATAAACGGAAGAAAAGAAACAACTGTGAAAAAACAGGACCAGCTTAGAACTCACCCTGAGGAAGTTGAGATGTGATCCCAACATGTTAACTTCCTTCTATAAACGAATGGAATGTTTTTTCACTTCACTTTGAAACACTGCCGTACTTCTATGAATGAGAGAGTCATCTGAGTTGACGCATTCTCATAAAAATGCAGCTGTAGCACTCTATGCTAACTGCACACGGCAGGTGGTCAATAAAAAGTTTCAGATGTGGGTAAGATGATCACAAGTCATTCATTCTTTCCTGGGAAGGAGTTTAATAAGATTACTTTCTTCTTAACACCATATCAGCTGTACTAAGAAAAACTGACTGGTGGGAGTAGAAAAAATTCAGAATATGAAAAACCTGTCGGTGAGGCAGGCTAGGAGGGAGGCCTCAGCTGGAAAAGGAGGAGAGCAAAACTTGCAGGAGTGTACACAGACCCCAAGGACACATGAACTAGGGCATTAGGAAGTGGACCAGTTGCCATGGAGTCGATTCTGACTCATGACGACCCCATGTGTATCAGAGCAGAACTCTTTTCCATAGGGTTTACAATGGATGATTTTTTGGAAGTAGATTGCCAGGACTTTCTTCTGAGGTTCCTCTGGGTGGACACGAACCTCCAACCTTTTGGTTAGCAGCCACATGGTTAACTGTTTGCACCAACCTTAGAAACCATTCCTTAGAAAGTGGAAGGGGATGCAAAAATTGAAGTGCAAAGGCATCAAAGACCTTGTTCTTAGGAAAAGAAGTGGAAACTTGCTTTCTTCTATCTCCAAAATGTTCACACTACCTTGTTCCCACGACCCAAAACTCAGGCAGGTATCTTGAGCAGTATAGGTCAGCTACATGAGGGTTTAGCCTGCTCTAGAAGCTGCCTGGGAACTCATTCGCCAACTCACAATAGTGTTTCTGTGGGAAAAAGTGTTTCAAAGTCTGCCAGTGGTCTGAAAACATGACAGACAATCCCTTCATAAAGTGGAGATTATCTACCTGGGCGCAATTCTTTAAGTGATTCTTTAAGTTTTACAATGTAATCAATATGCTTTGAATCTCCAGAATATATTCTAAGATATATAGTAAAAATGAACCATAAAAAAAAAAAAAAGCGCCTAACATTTATGTCACCAAGATGAAAATATAGCAGTACTTTCCTACCGGCATTTATTACTTAAATGATACTTAGACACTGCTGAATAAATGTCTCTTTGCAGACACACAGCATATCCAATAATCTATCACTTCAATAAGCAATTCCATTACTAGGGAATAGCTACAAATATTTTATATGCAAGGACTTTGTATCATTCTGCAAACTCAACAAGAGATATTGCTTTAAGGCTATACATTAAGGCTACCTTGGCTATTCGAAATATGTATAAGCAACAAGGACACTTTTACAAAAGGTAATATAAATTAATCACTGTTGCCATCTTAGGGCAGGGAAAAGCCATTACAAGCCAATACAGACATTCAAAATGCTATCTTGAAAGTTAATTGCTATTATTCTGTTGCAGGACGGAATATTGCTCAAAACTGCCCATTTCAAAATACCAAGAAATTCTCATTGTTATTTTTTTAAGCAAGAATACATCAGAATAAAGACTTCTAAAATTAAACCTTTCATCTGTGTTAAAAGTGAAATTTATTACAATACAATAAATGTCAGTGTTATTAAAAATGAAGGTTAAAAATCATAAAGTATATTATTTTTCTACTATAAATACTGGAAATAACAAAAACAATTCTATACATACACAGGACACTAAAAACATACAATCATGCAGGAGGACAAAAAAATAACTTTACATGTTACCTTTTAAGTATTACATTTATCTTTTCCTAGCCCCAGCATCATACCAGAATATGAAGGCTGAGCTAAATAATTACTCAGACTGCAACCTCAAGGTTTAAGTGTTTTGCATGTACATCAGTTGTCATACATTGACTATGTTTAAAAATCACTGATTGTTTTGATCATGTTGTTCTAATTCCCATATTTTCTTTCCTCAATAGGTCTTGGACAAAAAATTAGTTGACAAGAAAAACTGTGATTACAGGGTTCAACACGAAATGTATTCCCAATGATTCATTTAAAGGTGGCATAAAGTTATAAAAAATTAAAGTCCTACAGGACTTGAAAGACAATGAGTACAGGAACATGTAGAAAAAATGAAGCAGTTCACCCTCTGCTTGCTTACGTGGCTCCCGTGTCTCCATAGGAAGGAGAAGCCAGAGTCATTAAGAAGAGTACATCAGAACTTGTGGGGAATGGGGGTGGGGTGGTACAGGCAGGGAGCTAGGGAAAAGTGCTGGATTATACAGGGAAATCACAAAATATTACGTATCTATTCTTTCCTCTTCGGCTAGACGCAGGGACAGGTTCCAGCTCCTCCTCTCTCCCCTGCACTTCACCAGCACCCTCTCTGGTTACTCTGTCCCTCCCTGCTCTGTGAAAACAGCCACTCCTTTCAGAGATGATATAAAGTATCAGAAAACAGCATATTAAATTTCATAGTAAGATGCCACATGTGTAGACATATACATAGAGTATGAATTCTAAGAAATTCAGTGCATTGTATCAGAAAAAGTGCTACCACTGCTCCCAGCTAAAATCATCTCCTCTTCCAAATACAAGGAAAAAGCCTTGAATCGTAAGGAAAATGACTGCATTGCCTGCCAGCACAAGGCCACAAGCTCCCCATTTGATCTGAAACACAAGAAAACAAGGGTTAACTCTTTACTGTCTTCTTATTATGCTAGCTGCAAATATGTTATTTTCTGCATTAGAAACATCCAGTGAAATATTACATAAAGCTGCTAAAAGGCTTAATAATGTAATAGGCAGGATACATAGAACTATTCAGTAATTAGTCTAATTACTTCCATGATGGTTATTAATTAAGTCTAGTACCATCCATAACATGTTCCCCATTAAACAAATTTTTCTACTTGTTTTCAGTAGATAATGACTGCCTTAAGTAAACTACTTGTAGCAAGATTATGAATGGTCCAATGACAATATTGGGTACTAAAAGTTCTGCACGAATTGCCTCCTTTTGTGGCAAATAGAAATTGAAGAGTTATGGGTTTGTTTGTTTCTTTTCTAGGCAGGAAAAGACTTTAAACAATAATCTGCATACAAATGAAAGCAGCTTTCAGCTTGGCAGATTGATTTTTCAGAGGCCTAGTTGGAGGTGAGAGCACCCTCTAGTGGGCATTGTTTGTTTTTATTTAACCAATAGAAACACCAGCGAAAGTTTCTTCACAAAACACGATGCAGTACTGAAAAACAGAGTATTTACAGCACAACTTAACAGTGCTGGCTACAGCACACAAGAAAAAGGTCATGACAATCTTTTCATCAATAACATTCAATGTTTCTTCATTATCTATATCAAGTTCAAAACTGTTCCCAATCAGGCTTTACCAACTTTTCCAGCCTCAATCTCAAGTACTCCCTTTTTGCTGCATCATACTGGACTGCTTTTTTTTTTTTTAAATTGTGGTGAAAATATACACAACAAAACATACACCAATTCAAAAATTTCTACATGTGTCATTCAGTGACATTGAGTACATTCTTCAAGTTGTGCAACCATTCTCTCTATCCTCTCCCAAATTATTCTACCGTCATTAATATGTTGGATTGCTCTTTATTCTATAAATTGCATTTTCACACTTGGGTGCCATTGCTTATAACAGCCTTCCCTACATAAGTCAAAACCCTATTTATCCTAAGAGCCCCATATCAAATGCCAGTTGGAATTTTTCTCCTCTTGGTGCTCCTATCTTATTCTGATCGTATTTCAATTATCATACAATAGTACATTTATAGTATACAGGCAGTCTCTGGTTACATCTGACTTACGAAGTTACAAACCAACCCCCATAAAGCCTAATATATTAAAAATTCGAGGTACATACAATGGTTTGTAATAACAAACAGGCGCTACTTTGTGACCCACATCAAAACATTATACTGTGTTATTATGTTAAAGATGTTTTAATGTAACTTGAAGTGTATTTTTAATGTTTTTTATGCATAGAAAGGTGTATCATATACTAAGACGAACATCTGACTGATGTTAGATACGAACTGTACCTAACTGTCCCCATTTACGTATAAATTCAACTTAAAGACAGAAATGGAACTTGTTCGTAATGCAGGGACTGCCCATACTTAACCATCGTGCTAGTTCCTATGCTCTTATTCATGGGGTTATACAAATAGCAGATAATACAAAAATATTTACTGAATGAATAAGCAAGACTTGTGCATATCTGATACTCAACACCCCAACAAGTTTCACAAAATTGAAACAGAATGTCGTCTGGAAGGGGAGAAATAAAAGCAAACAGTAGGAGAGAGAGTAAGCATCAAAGGACTGAATAAATTAAACCCACAATGTGCTTTTTGGAGATGAAAAGAAAATTTCTACACTGGATCTAAAAGGATGTCATCTTATTCACTGTATCTTCTAGTCCCTACACAGTTGTCCTTCAATATGTGCATATTATTGACTTGAGAATTGAGTACATGATCCTATTTGCAGGAGAAGAATTTGATTATGATCTTAACTTTATAACTAGAAATATATTACTATTGTAGTCTCTGTGGATTGCCGTAAGATTTAGGAAGCAGGGATATAAGAAGAATTCTAGGAGAACAGCTTCAAGTAGAAAACACAAGAAAGGGCATGGTCTGGCTAAAGGCTATAAGAGAAACAAAGAACACACTCTAAAAACGCGGCCATGATATCGATAGATGTGAAAAGGAGAAACAGAGAAACTAAAAAGACGTCTGGTTTTGAATATGAAGTATAAGCAATGAAAATGAAACTGAGGACTCAGACACAGGTCTTTGAAGTAAACTCAGTGACAATCTGGCCAAACAACAGAAAATAAAACTTACCACAGCCACACGAGCAAGAATAACAGGAAATCCAAAGGCAGAAACAACAATTCCAGTAGTGAAGAAATACGCCAGTTCCCGACAGGCACTACTTGTTGCATCAGAGTCATATGTTGCTCTTTTGGCAATAAAGTGGGGGATGGGGGAGATGGCGTGAAATATCAGGACGAACAAGGGCCAGTACACGCTGTCAGATGGACCCAGAAAAAAACACAAAAAGAAAAGTTAAACGAAAGACATGCTATTGTTTTTAAAATATAACAAAAACTTACTTGTTCAATTGTTAATATTCGTACATCAGATGAGCTTTACTATGACTATCTAAGTACTGATGATTTAAAAATTACTGGTTCATTGATATGTAGGTAGTTCATATTGTGTACAGAAACAACTGGACAATGCATAATTAATACACTTTATTGTTCTCTGTATTGCTGTTAAGAGCCATTGAGTTGATTTCGATTCATAATGACCCTATATGACACAGTAGAACTTACCATAGGGTTTTCTAGGCTGTAATCTTTATGGAAGCAGATCGCCAGGTCTTTCTCCCACAGAGTTGCTAGGTGGGTTCGAACCGCCAAGCTTTCAGTCAGCAGATGAGCACTCACCATTGAGCCACCAGGATTCCTTGTTTTTTGTATTACTAAGCTGTAATTACCTTAAGGGCAGAATCTTGTCTCAGTTGTGTTTGCTTTTGCTACAGAATATACTACAGCGGCTTGCACATGCTAACTCAATGAAGATCTTTTCAGTAAGCGCAAGCTTGAAACCTTCCCATGGCATCCTATCACACTTAGAATAAAACCCAAACTCCTTGCCCTGGCCTACAAAGCCTTATATGATCTGGTATTGTTTATTTCTCTCATTCATCTGGTATCATCTTCCCATCTTCCTTGTGGCCACACCAGCCTTCTTCCTGTTCCTTAAACAATGCAAGCTCATTGCTGCCTTGGGGCCTTTGCACTAGCTGTGCCCTCTGCCTGCAGTGCTCTTCCCCTGATGCTCCACTGGTTGGATCCTTCTTATCATGCAAATCTAAACTGAGACGTCCCCCCTAAAAGTGGCTTTCCCTGACCATCCATTCTAAAGTACTCCCGAGTCACTCTTAGCATATCACCCTCTTTTAACTTTTGGCACAGTACTTACTCCTGGTATTTTCTTGTTTATGAGAACAAGGATCTGATCTGTCTTGGTGAATCACCATTTATCTCCAGTGACTATAATGAGATGCTCCATTAATAACTGTTGAATGAATAATAAATGGATTTTAAGTATATTGTTAGGTGCTGTTGGGTTGATTTTCGACTCATAGCGATCCCATGTGACAGAGCAGAATTGCTCTGTAGGGTTTTCTAGCTTGTAATCTTTATGGGAGCAATTGCTAGGTCTTTTTCCCGTGGATCCTCTGGGTGGGTTTGAACCGTCAACCTTTCGGTTAGCAGCCAAGTGCTTAACCACTGCGCTTTAAGTATGGAAGGTATGCTAAACTGATATGCTCACTAATAAAAACTTTATAGATACACTCTAATCTTTATTAATGACCAAAAGAATAATGTAACACAAAACAAAAAATGTTTTCTTTCAAAATCCAACGTTTTGTATTTATTAAAAACTGTCATCTGGTTCCCGGTTATCTTTGCTCTATAAATACTTCAAAAATAATCTATCATCTCTTTCTCCATCAGCTACGCATTTATTACGCTTTATTTTTTGAGGGAAAAAAAAAGCTTAGTCACTACTCATTTATATATACATGTGTACGTGTGTGTGTGTGTGTGTGTGTGTGTGTGTGTGTGTGTATGCACACATACCACGATAATACAATCACCACAATACTGTGATAACAGAGATCCACACAGACAGCCAGGCACTCTGAGCAGGAGTGGTGGTGATGTGATGAAAGCAGCCCATTTCAGCCACAGATGTAGGTGGGCAGGATGGCAGCCAAAGAGCAAGCAGAAAAGTGCCCTTCATCAAGAGGACTCAGGGTGGAAGTACTGAGTTTGGATTCCTAATTTTAAACTAGAGGAATATTAAATATTCGGTAAATATGTAAGTCGAGGGTTTGAAAACTTTTTCTGTAAAAGGGCCAGGTAATAAATATTTTAGGTTTTACAAACTACATGGTTTCCATCTTAGCTATTCAACTCTGCCATTGTAGCCCCAAAACAGCCATGTTGTTGTTGTGTGCCGTCGAGTCGATACCGACTCATAATGACCCTATATGACAGAGTGCTGTTGTTGTTATTAGGTGCTGTCCAGTCAGTTCTGACTTACAGTGACCCCATATACAACAGAATGGAACAATGCCCGGTCCTGTGCCAATCTCACAATTGTTGTTATGTTTGAACCCACTGTTGCAGTCACTGTGGCAATCCATCACATTGAAGGTCTTCCTCTTTTTCGCTGACCCTCTACTTTACCAAACATGATGTCCTTCTCCAGGGACTGGTCCCTCCTGATAATATGTCCAAAGTACCTGAGACAAAGTCTTGCCATCTTCACTTCTAAGGAGCATTCTGGCCATACTTTTTCCAAGACAGATCTGTTTGTTCTTCTGGCAGTCCATGGTATATTCAATATTCTTCGCCAACACCATAATCCAAATGCGTCGATTCTTCTTCGGTCTTCCTTATTCATTGTCTAGTTTTCTCATGCATATGAAGTGAATGAAAATACCCCGGCTTGGGTCAGGCACACCTTAGTTCTCAAAGTGACATATTTGCTTTTCAACACTTTAAAGAGATCTTTTGTCCAGTGTAATAATTTGATTTCTTACTGCTGCTTCCATGGGTGTTGACTGTAGATTCAAGTAAAATGAAATCCTTGACAACTTCAATATTTTCTCTGTTTATCATGATGTTGCTTATTAGTCCAGTTGTGAGGAGTTTTGTTTTCTTTGTTGAGGTGCAATCCATACTGAAGGCTATGGTCTTTGATCTTCTTCAGGAAGTGCTTCAAGTCCTCTTCACTTTCACAAGCAAGGTTGTATCATCTGCACATCACAGGTTAACTCATCTTCCTCCAATCCTGATGCCACATTCTTCTTCACATAGTCCAGCTTCTCAGATTATTTGCTCAGTATACAGATTAAATAAGTATGGTGAAAGGATACAACCCTGGCACACACCTTTCCTGATCTTAAACCACACAGTATCCCCTTGTTCTGTTTGAAGGACTACCTCTTGATCTATATACAAGTTCCTCCATAAGCACAGTTAAGTGTTCTGGAATTCTCATTCTTTGCAATGTTATCCATAATTTGTCATGATCCACACAGTTAAATACCTTTGCATAGCCAATAAAACACAGGTAAACATCTTTCTGGTATTCTCTGCTTTTAGCCAAGATCCATCTGACATTAACAGTGATAGCCCTCATTTCATATTCTCTTCTGAATCAGGCTTGAATTTCTGGCAGGTCCCTGTCAATGTACTGCTGCAACCATTTCTGAATTCTGGCACAGGAGAACATATGACTGTCCAATTCAAAATGGCCAAGACTAGTCCATTTCAGCTCATTATTGCCTAGGATATCGATCTTCAGGCGCTCCATTTCATTTTTGACAACGTCCAATTTTCTTAGATTCATACTTTGTACATTCCACGTTCCGACTGCTAACGGATGTTTGCAGTTGTTTCTTCTCATTTTGATTCGTGTCACATTAGCAAATGAAGGTCCCGAAAGCTTTACTCCATCCACATTATTAAAGTCAACTATACTTTGAGGAGGCAGCTCTTCACCAGTCATACTTTGAGCACCTTCCAACCTGAGGGGCTCATCTTCCGACACTGTATCAGACAATGTTCTGCTGCTATTTATAAGGTTTTCACCGGCTAATTTTTCATAAGTAGACTGCCAGGTCCTTATTCCTAGTCTGTCTTAGTCTGGAAGCTCCGCTGAAACTTTTCCACCATGGCTGATCCTGCTGGTATTTGAAATACCAGTGGCACAGCTTTCAGCATCACAGCAACACGTAAGCCAGCACAGTATGACAAACTGACGGATGAGTGGTGGCATGACAGAGAACCAAACCAAAACCAAACCTGTTGCTGTCGAGTCAATTCCGACTCACAGCCACCCTATAGGACAGAGTAGAACTGCCTCATAGGGTTTCCGAGGAGTTAACTGGTGGATTTGAACTGCTGATCTTTTGGTTAGCAGCCAAGCTCTTAACCAATGAACCACCAGGGTTCCATGACACAGTAGAACTGCCCATAGGGTTTCCTAGGCCATAGACATATGTAAACAAATGAGCGTGGCTGTTTTCCAACAAAATTTTAATTACAAAAAGAGACTGGGGGCAGTATTAGGCCTATAGGCCCTAGTTTCCCAATCACTGATGTAGATGATAATCCTGGGTCACCATAATTAAGATATAAAATGAATTTCTTTTTAGTAGCAATAAAAGGGTCATTTTCTTACCTTAGAGAGATATAGTGTATCACTGAGAATCTAAATACCTGAGTTTGGAGTCAGTTGGAATGGAAAAATCTCTAGTCAAGGGAGTCAGAAGACATGAGTTTCATTCCCATCTCTGACACTTACTGCCTATAATTTAGGTAAATCTTAACTCTGGGTTTTGGTTTCCTAGACAGAAATGAGGATAATACGAACTTACATCTCTAAAGCTAGAATAAAGTATTATCTGTGAGAGTCCTGGACAAATATAATTTATTGCTAATATTTGTGTCTAAACAATTTCTGTGGTAGTTGGCCAGGACTGCGGCAACACATCTGAATTCATCAGTATCATAAAAACTAGCTCCAGCTGGTCTCAGTTAATGGCCTCACCTTCTATCCAGCTGCTCTAGCAAGTCACCTGGGAGACTTCTGGGACCTCTCCCTACTTCTTGACCATTGACATTTATTAACAAAATCTGTTGATTCTATCACCTCTCTTTGTCTCTCTCTCCTCTTTCTTTCCATTCCTACTGCCAGGGCACTAAATTTTGCTTGTTTATGATAATACTCACTTACTATCCTCCGTGACTGCAGTCTAAGCACTTTCCTATCTAATCTTGGCCAGAATGGCCATCTTAACATAACCCCCCAGGCGTCCTGTCAAACCCATTCTCAATATTCTTCCACAGCTCCTACTGCCTGAAGAATAAAGTCTAATCTCCTTTACAGGGCATACAGAGCCCAAAAGAATTGACTCTACATCCTTGATCCTTGGCCAACCCCTTCTCCTGCCACTCCTTCTGCTCTATCACAACGAACCATACGTGCTTTCCTGAATAGTCTATTCGCTCTCATGTCTTTGAGCCTTAGTATATAGCTTTCCAGCTGCCTAAAATCCTCTTAAGGAACCTTGGTGGCACAGTGATTAAGCATTCGACTGCTAATCAAAGCGCTGGCAATTCAAACCCACCAGCCACTCCGCTTTATGAAATGAATAAGTAATAAAAATTGTTTATTAAATGAATAAATCCATTTTAAAAAGCTTTCCTCTGCACAAAGACAAATGACTTATCATGGGACTGTGTTCAAAATCTGGGCTTTACTAACTCAACTGGCTAGAGCTTCATGCTAAATTGACCAAACTCTAACACTCATACAAATACTGACAAAGACGCAAAAAGAAAAATAGTTCTTTTTGAGATGGTAACTTACCCATAATCCTCTAAGGCACATCCCAGCATAAGAAAAGTCAGCCCAATAGCTCCACTGAAGGATAATGCCACAAGAGCTGTGAAAAATAAAATTAAGAGTTAAACGCTGAACCCAGATCAGTGGGTGACAGAATCTAGGTGGAGAATGACTACTAATGGGTACAGAGTTTCTTTTTAGGGTGATGAAAATGTTCTGGAATTAGACACTGGTGATGGTTGTACCATGGAGCTCTGGTGGCACAGTGGTTAAAAGCACTCAGCTGCTAACCGAAAGGTCAGTGTTTTGAATCCACCGGCAGCTCCATGGGAAAAAGATGTGGCAGTCTGCTTCCGTAATGACTGACAGCCTTGGGAACCTTATGGGGCAGTTGTACTCTGTCCTATGCGGTTGCTATAAGTCGGAACTGACTCAACAGCAAATGGTTTGGTTTTCTGGTTTTGGATGGCTGCACAATCTTGTGAATATACTAAAAACCACCAAATTGAATGCTTTAAAGAGGTTAGTTTTATGTTATGTGAATCATATCTCAATAAAAAGTTTTAAGTAAAAAGAAGTTAAAGATTTCAAACTTAAGCAAATCCCCATTTGCTGTCAAGTTGATTCCAACTTATAGTGAGCCTACAGGACAGAGCAGAACTGCCCCACAGGGTTTCCAAGAAGCAGCTGGTTGATTTGAACCGCCAACCTTTTGGTTAGTAGCCGTAGCTCTTAACTATTGTAATTTATTTCATTAGCTGATGTTACATTTGACTAGCAAATGACTGCCTATGCCCACCACTTTAAAATCATAAGGTAGAGAAAAGTCTCAAGCATCTAAATACCAAACCTCTAAGGTATGAATTTCCTCTATATTTGTCACAAAATAAACCAGCCAACTAGTCTGAACGTCTCCAGGGAAGAGAAACTCACTATAGCCTAAGGCAGGCCATTTCATTCTGACTGTTTCTAAATGTTGAAAGCTTTCCTCCTTCCTTATGTCCAAAACTGCTTCCCTGTAATATATACCCTTTGGTCCCTTTGCCCCCTAAAACCACAGTACTCCAAGTTTTTTAAGATCACTTTCATGGCTTCATAGAAAATTATTCCCAACTAGTATCCACTGAATAAAGATATCTATGCCCTGCATCTGCTGGACACTAAGCTCTGGGGGGTAGAACCTATTTGCCCTTGTCACACTGCTGAGTGAGAGACAGATTATCATCGTTGTTTAAAACCTTGAGCTCTGAGTCACAGTTTAAGTTAAATCTTTACTCTGCCCCACTTGGTTGTATGACCTTGGATAGAAACTGAACCTCTTTAAACCTGATTTCTCACCTGTAAAATGAGAAAAATGGTGCCACCTTATTAGGGAGTTTATGGAAATTAAATGAGATAATCTATGTAAAGTGCCTGGCAAAAAGTAGGTGTTCAATAAATACTGCTCATTTTAGCAATGTTCTTTGATAGAAGTACGAATCAAAAGCATAGAACACTGAATTAGCCAAACGTTCTTCTGAAAAAAAAAAAAAATCCACAACATTCAAAATCAGTCATTGATTAAACTAATTAATATTTTTTATTGTTTCATTTTACTTAAGAGGAGATTCAGGGAGACTAAGAGGAGATTTGGAGAGGTTGTTTTCTAGGAAGATGGCAACGTGCTTTTTTAAAAAACATCTGGAAGTATACATACCAAAATGTTAACCTGGTTCTCACTGGGGGAGACACTGGGGGAAAAAGAAGGACTGTCCGTTTTAATTTATATCTTTTTCAATTAGTACATGTCACTTGTTAACAGAAAAATGTACCAACGTGGAAGGAAAGTAACTTTCCACATATTATTTCATTACAGAAGATGACCTCCCTAGTAAGCGCTATTCCACTCCTCTATGCCTCTTTCATGAGACCTCTCAAAGCTAAGAATCTACAGCTTTCTATCCTATGACACTCGTCTCTCAAGATTCTCAACCATATCTCTTATTGGTTCTTCTTACTCTTTTAAGTCCCCCTCACCCCGGAAATGTCATCCTCTGCCATCTTTTTAAAGTTGGAGTTGACCAGGAATCCAACTCTATCCCTCTTCTCATTCCACACACTCTTGCTGGGAAATTGCATTCAACCAAAAGCTACCGTTACTGTAAGGGCCTGCTACATCTGACGTTGCAGCCCAGAGTTGGTCCTAAGAACTAGGTCTGCATGTCCAACTTTAATCTGGACTTCTCTGCCTGGAGGGCCAACCAAAACAAAACCAAATCCACTGCCATAGAGTGAATTCCAACTTATAGTCAACAAGAACCTCAAATTCAACATGCGTAAAACTGCCTCCCCTCCCAAACCCCATTTATTCTTCCCCTTGAAGGACCTATCTTGAAAGACGGACACTATCACCGCACTCCATCTACCAGTGAGTCACCAAGTCCAGGTGACTCCATCTCCTAAACATCACTCAAATCCACCCTCTTCTCTAAAACCCTCTGCCATTGCCCTAGAGCAGGCCTTCATCTCATGCCTGGACTATGACAAGAATCTACCTGCCTACAAGTGTGACTCTTCCAATCCATCCTTTCCATATCAGTGATCTTTCAAATCTATCAATCTGGCGTTACACCTTTGTAGCTGCTTTCACTTTTACCAGTTGCGCAGACACTTGAGGCTCACCATGGTCTAATTCCTGACTGCCTTTCCAGCTTCAACCCTCACCACTTTTCCCCTAAGTACAGTCTTACTAAGCAGCTTAAAATGAAGAAATGTGCTCTTTCATGCCTACTCCCCTCACCCCACCCCATGTCACGTTGTTCTCTCCACCTTGAATGTATCTGCTTTCCTGCATAAGGTGAAACACTTACTCGCCCTTTCTGATTCAACTCAAGCATGCCTCTTCTGTGAACACAGTCCTTCTCTTCCCTGGAGCAGGGTTAAGTAATTCCATCCATGTTCCCACTGTACCTGAATATACTTTAAACACTTATACGATAATATAATTGTTTCCAGCTGCACCCCACAATAACTTCTCATTTATATTTTTACCTTAAGTCTCAGGCATACAGTAGTCGCTCAATAAAAGTTAAATGGAATTAACTGCAAAATGCTCCCTCCCCTTATTCCTTTTCTAGTTCTTATCTTACTTTTTATTATGTCACAAGTTCTAACCTGTTCACATTTGAACATTATTATTTGGAAGTTTCTGGTTATGACTAAACACTATGTATTACTTAGATACTACTTGTCATCTGTTTTTTGCATTGGCTTCAAATCGACATAGTACACACTGGACACAGTCCAAGTAAACCATGTTTACTAAACTGACAGTGAATTTACAACTCAGCCAGAAATAATGATACAATGTATCTGCTCCTAACAGCTCACACTCTCAGATAAATTTCATAGTGAATACACACACACATATACTGTATATATGCTTTTAGCAGATATTGGTCAAGTAGGGAGAGAAGATCTTTTGGCACAAATTTTGGGGAGGATAGGAACTTCAACATGGAAACAAGTTATGCTATTCTATTCAAAAGATTAGAAACATAAGGACTTCCTACCAAAATATTTCTGATAACCTCTCTCATCCCTGCTATCTCTCATTCCTCTCAAGTCACACAGATTAAGGGAAACGGTGTTGTTACTGTGTGCCCTCAAGGCGATTCTGACTCATAGTGACCCTACAGAACAGAGCAGAACTACCCCACAGAGTTTCCAAGGAGCGACTGGTGGATTCAAACTGCCAACCTTTCTGAATAGCAGCCTGAGGGCTTAACCACTTCACCACAGGTGTTCTTGGTACCCCCTTTTAATCAAATGTCCCACCCAAAAACACGTATTGCACAAACACTACTTTCTTGTCTGTCCATAAATGGAGAAAACACTGAAGAAAACAGTGCTAAAATGCTCCTCGTCTCCACAATTAAGAAAAACACAGCATTTCTGGGCGCCTTCTGACACCCGCCCGCAGTCAACTCTGCCCAATGGAAAAAAACCACTAGGAACATGAGGATTAAGCTCCCCAGCGAAAAGAAAACTGGAGAAGGAACCAAAGGCTTCTCTGTAAGAAATGGGAAATTCTGCTGAGAGGGAGTAAAACGCAGGAGAGGCTTTAGGAGGACAAACCGGGCAGTGGAAACCTTGTTCAGAAACTCAGCAGCCTGCAGGGGGAGGGGCGCTCCGAGGTCCTGAGCAGCAGCCAGGGAGGTGATGCTCCCAGGGCTAGCCCGGGTCTCCCGGGGAGACAAGACTCCGCGGTGAGGCCTCTGCCTGGAGGGCGCGGAAATACGCCGGGTGCGAGCGTGGTCTTACAGAAAAAAGGGTTGACGTTCCACCCGAAACTCCCCTCCACTCGCACCCCAAGGGGTAAAGAGAAGCAGGCGGGCGCCTGCCCGCCCGCAGAAGCGGGAAGAGTGGCGAGCCTCGGGGTGGCTGTTCCCCGCTGGCGTGCCGAAGGCGCAGCTCCAGGCTCAGCCCGGAGCAGAGGAGCGACCCCACCGCAGAACTACCAGGCCGGGACCGCGGATATACCTTTAATGCCCGCCATGTCTCCAGAGCTGCGGCCGCGGCTGCTTCCGGCCTACTTCCAAGGCCCCGGCCTTAGCCACACAGAACCCCGCCCCCGCCGGTCCAGAACTCCTCCTTCTTGGGTCCAGAGCCCGCCTCCACCATGCGTAGCCCCGTCCCCGCCGGTTCCGATCCTGCCTCCGCCGCGCAGAGTCCCGTCGCTGACAGGCTCGAACCCTAGTTCGCCACGGAAATCCCCGCCTACGCCACACAGAATCCTGCCCCTGCCACGCATAGCCCTGCCCCTACCCACAGAATCCTGCCCCCCGCCACGCACAGCCCCATCCGCTACACAAAATTCTTCTCCTCCTTACACGGAGAATCCTGCCCCTGCCACACACAGCCCCGTCCCCCTACACAAATCCTGTCTCGGCCACGCATAACCCCCACGCACGCACATCCTAAACCTGCACGCAGGGCCCCGCCCCCTTACACGCAGAATCCTGCCCTACGCCACGCACAGCCCCGCCCCGTTTAGAACTCCGCCCCCAGCATGGCCCCGCCCCTCTCTGTTCCTAACTCCGCTTCCTCTCATCCTGACCCCGCCCCTGCTCCCAGCGTCCGCTCCCGGCGGGCTGAATCCGTTCCTGGGCCTGCACCGTGAACTGGAGTTCGCCTTGTGTAACCCTTTGACTTGAGCCCTGCTGGTAATCTGCGAACTCGTCCCACGGTTCGCCCTTCAAGTCAGTCGGCTGGGAACTCTGCTTCTCCCGACCGCTGTGTCCTCAGGCCCAGATGCTCCCGCTCGGCCGGAGCCCGCTGGGCCGGAGCTGGGCCGAACACCACGGGTCCTCACTGCCTGGAAACCCAGCCCAGGAGTGGAGATCAACAAAGAGGGGAGAGGGAGGAGGCTAGTGAAGGAGGAAAGTTACAATCCTTAACGGAGGAAGGGACGCTCATACACTCACCAGCATTATGATTCTGAGTCCAACCCGCGTTTGTGTGCCTATCAGTGTTTACGTAGCTGTGGCTTTGGCAGAGGTCGGCATGCGGGGACCAGAGAGCTAGGCCTCGGGGCAACAGCCCCTTTTTCATCCCCAGGTGTATTTGTAGAGACAAAAGCCTCGTAAGCAGTTTGTGCCCTAGGCTTTCGTGCACCTTTAAACAAATAGCTTTTCTTTTTATACGTAGGGGCCGCAAAGTCTGCAGGTAACTCAGACCAGTTTAGGTCACATAGGGTCATTTTGTACTTTCACAGAAATGGAGAGTTTTCTCTTGGTGGACACAATCTGAAGTTGTTGTTGTTGGGTGCCGTCTAGTCAGTGGCAACTCCTAGCGACCCTATGTACAACAGAACAAAACACTGCCCGGTCCTGGCCATCATCACAATCGTTGCTGTTTGAGCCCATTGTTGTAGCCACTGTGTCAATCCATCTTATTGAGGATCTTCCTCTTTGTCGCTGACCCTCTTCTTTACCAAGCACGATGTCCTTCTCCAGGGACTAGCCTCTCCTGATAACATGTCAAAAGTATGTGAGATTCTCACCATCCTTGCTTCCAATAAGCATTCTGGCTGTACTTCCAAGACAGATTTGTTAGTTCTTCTGGCAGTCCACGATATAGTCAATATTCTTTGCCAACACCATAATTCAAAGGCTTAATTCAAAGTTCTTCAGTCTTCTTTATTCATCGTCCAGAAAACCAAACCCGACTCATCGTGACCCTATAAGACAGAGTAGAACTGCCCCATAGGGTTTCCAAGGAGCATGTGGTGGATTTGAACTGCCAACCTTTTGGTTAGCAGCCATAGCTCTTAACCACTACACCACCAAGCTTCCCCATTCATTGTCCATATGAAGCAATTGAAAATACCATGGCTTGAGTCAGGCACACCCTACTCCTCAAAGTGACATCTTTGCTTTTTAACACTTTAAAGAGGTCTTTTGCAGCAGATTTGCCCAATGCAGTACATGGTTTGATTTCTTGACTGCAGCTTCCATGGGCATTGATTGTGGAGCCAAGTAAAATAAAATCCTTGACAATGTTTTCTCCGTTTATCAAGATGTTGCTTATTTTTACCGTGTGGAAAGAGACTCAGAAAGGGTAGGACTGGCCTGATTCACACAGCTCTTTGGAGGAGGTTGGATTACAGGCCACTTTCCCCCTCATTCTAGCAGAGGACGCACTCCATAGTACTGTGAGGTCCCTTTTCTATTGCTTTTTCTCAGTTGTCAGCAAGACTGAAAGAGAAAGGAGTCTGTGGGAATCCTGGTTCTCTTGACTACCTGAGAAGTAGAAATTCTCATCACTGCCCCCTTTCAGGATCCCCACTCGGTTTACTTCTTCAAAACCACACATTGAGCATTTTATTGTCTCAGAAAATGTTTAATTACCTCTGAATTTATTTTTCTAGCTCCTCCCATTTCTCATCAGAGATGAATGGTATGGTACACTTACTAAAAACATTTTGTTGCTAATACCTGGCTCACTGTAGACCCCCAAAGATCCAGGACTTCACTGCACTCTTTTCCTTTGTAGCCTGCAACCTATTCAAGATTATCAAGAGCTTCTGTTTCCCTGTTTTGAGTATCATATTCTAATACTGTTAAAGCACACAGCGGAACACTGCATATCAGCCAAACACTGAAAGCCTGTACTTTTTAGCTCTTAACTGTAGTGCTCAGCTAGTCTCACAAGGAAGTAACGCTTTTCCTCCTTGTAAGGATTTTCTATGGAGTTAAATCTCCTAATATCTCCTCCCATTCTCAACCCAGTGCGTCTCTGCAAAGTCATCTGGAGCCTTCCAGGTCAGCCTGAGGCCAGTCTGGCAAAGGGGAAATTATTTGGCAAAAACTGACACCACTCAGAGGCACAGTTTTGGTTTGAGTGCCTTAGGCTTCTTACTGGAAGACCGTGAGAAACAAAAAGATGAAATATTTGTCCCAGGGTGATGTCTGGAATCAGGAAAATAGGCAGTATGTCTCCAACAAGTGTCCTGCCCAGACAAGATGTCCTTTGCAGTTTCCCAAACACATAAAAGAGACAGTGATTTTATCTTGCCAGAGGCTTTAAACATGAATCTGCTTTCCTCTTGTCAAATGTTACCCTGGAAAATTGTTCTTCCACTTATCCATTCCACATTTCACTAAAAACAGAAAGTCAAATCGTAGGCACTGAACCCTATCCTGGACTTGCTATTGGTGTGTTACTTGGATGTACAAGATCCATGACCTCCATCACACTGCCTGGGCTACATCAGACTTCTTAGGATAAACTTTTATGTTCTCTCCTTGCACTCCATTCTCTTGCACTATGAGCTAGGTTTTACAGGCAGCCTCTGGGTTGCGAACGAAATCAGTTCCTGTGTCTTTAAAATGAATTTGCAGATAAGTAGGTCAGTTGGAACAGGTGCATACGGTTCTGGTTCTTATTTGCCTTACTTTAGGAGCCCTGGGGGCACAGCGTTTGAGAGCTATGGCTGCTAACCAAAAGGTAGGCGGTTGGAATCCACCAGCTGCTCCTTGGAAACCCTATGGGGCAGTTCTACTCTGTCCTATTGGGTTGCTATGAGTTGGAATTCACTCGATGACATGGGTTTGGTTTTTTTTTTTTTT